GGATGATTGTCTACCATATTTTCCATTTAATGCATATTGGCTGTGTTGCTCACGGTTGAAATGGGTTGAAAGACTTTGACATTGTATGCTTGTAATTAGTTTTTGCAGTGTTGCGTTTGTTTTAAATATGGTAAATTATAGATTTGTTTTTTTGTTGACTTTGTACCGCGCTTCGAGCCTTTGGGGATGAAGCGTGTTTTTGAAATGAACTTTATTATTATTATTATTTATTTGTATTTGTAACACTGTTGATTGATAGTAGTGATAGAGCTTTGCTACAGAAAAAAAACAACTTTCCATCAGGAAAATGAATTAAGCTAAAAATTGTGTTGTATTTTGGAATAAAAATAACTAATTATTACAGATTTTAAAAAAAAAATATACTAACTTTATTTAAATCAACACTGGCTAGTTTGGTGTAAGTGTAAGAATTAAACAAATTAAAACTGAATATTTTTCATAATGAATAAAAAAAACCCTCTTAAGTTGCTTTTTCAAATTATTTAATCAAAGCCTTTTCTCTAGTAATCTGAAAGAATTGTATTTCCATATCCACAAATTTCAGTTAATTTCGGAGACTTCCACATTAATTTTTGCTAATTCATATTAACTCTTTGCCTACTGTGAGTAAATATAAACTGGCTTTTGAAACTGGCTCACACAATTTTGTTGATAAGCAGTTTAGCAGTTTTTATTTTGTTTTGAAGAGTAGTGTAACGTTAATTTAATAAATACATTTGAGTCACTGGTAACTAGATGATATTTCATGAATTTTCATCTTGCCTTTATTACATTTTGTCCTTTAATATTTTCGTCATGACTACAAATTTATAAGTTTCAAAGTTATTGGTTGTGTTTCTGAAGGCACTATTTCTTTCATGCAGTGGAATATAATGCAGCTCAAAAGCAGATTAAAACTTAGTAGGAATTGAGTGAAGAACATTGCATTTCACATTAATAAATTCAATAAAGCAAGCATGCTACATGTAAGTTTTATCTGTTTCTATTTCTTATCATACTGTACATGACTTTGAGGCAGACATTTATTTGATCCTTGTATGGGGCATACTAGATTTACACTTTGCTCAAGTGTCACTAATGCCCTAACCAATCACTTAAATAGTATCGATTTTAATTATTATTATTATTAATAAAAGACTATTTAAACTGTATTTATAAAAGAAGTTGTTATATGCTGTAACTTGTAAATCTTTATTTTTAATAAAGTTTGGGATCAAAATAAAATATCAAAAATCGTCTCTTTGTTTTTTTAAATAATTAAATTACTTAAATAAAAGCTTCATGAAAATTAACATTGATTTTATCACATTTTTATGTTTTCTTTAAGTTTAAGTTAAAACCAACATTGGGTTTTAGGGGTTCAAAGATCAAGAATTAAAAATAATAAATACGTAAGTCCATATTAACACATTTAAAAATATTCTCAAAAGATATCACATGACAAATTGTTTTCTTTTATGATGGAAGACCTGGCACACTAAACATTTGTTTCTGTAGCTGCTCTGCGGTTAATGTTCCATGAATTCTTTCACAATCTTTGTTAAATACAGAATATGCACTCGGTTTGTTATCTTTAGGGCCAGTCCTGGTGTTAAAATAAGTAAATATGAGAAGTGACAGTGTAAAAAACACAGCACCAAACTGAAGTTCTATGAACAAACCCCATAAACACACCCACAAAAATATTTTTAAAGCTAGCAAAGTCCACTCTAAGGCTCCAGACTTTTTTGCTGCCTGATCACAAGAGTCACCATTTAGACTTCTTTCATATTCTGAGAATTTCTCGTTGTCACTGTGAATTTCTGTATTTGATGTCAGGTCCCTTTTAAGATGTTCATTGTTTTCTGGTGTCTCCTTCACGTCTTCTTTTCTTTCAAGTTTTTCCTGATGGAAAAAAAAAAAGTTAAATGGCACAGTTAATAAATAAAAATACAATTTCTTTTAAAAAACATTTTTATTTGGAGAAGCCTTAGAGAATCCAGTTGGTTGGTCATGGATAATCATTTAAGCTAAATTCCATTTTGCTCGTGTAAGGCCCTTGGCTGTGTCATGTGACATCCATGTAATTAATTTTATGACACCATGATTCAAAAATCTCAGAAGAATGCATCAAATTCTCAGCTTATATACCTCAAATATTCTTGATTTTCCCCGTTTTTTGTACTGGGTTTAGATACGGTACCGTAAGTAATTAAAATTTTTTTAAATGAAGGACATTAACAAAGTGACTTCTATAGCATGTACATTTGAATGATCTTTCTATTGATATAAAATTTATATAATTTTTTTTTTTTTTAGAAAAGATTGTTATTTGATTGAGTTTTTTTTACCCACAAATTTCAATGAAAATCACAACATGACACAAACTGTTTGAAAGAAGAAAGAAAAGTGTTTGTTACAAACTTAAAATCTTTATTATACACATCAACTGTTACCATTTCTTTAAGTTTGAATTTCAGATTATTAGACAATTTTTTAAAAAAGAGACATTTTAACTTTCTTTACAAAATTTCTAATTTAAACATGGGAATTTTATTGTTAATAAAACTATAGCTGTCAGCATGTAAAAAAAAACAACTTGATCTAACAGTATCATTATTATAAATTATATTTCCAAAAAATCTTCATTTCAATAAGACACTTTAAATTAATATTTGTTATATAAAAGAAAAAGCAGACAATTTCTGTCGTGAAAACAAAACCATTGCCATTAAACCTGCTCTTCTCTCTATTTTATAAAGAGCATAGCATTTACAATTTTGTTCTTACTGGAAAGAACTATTGTTCGCAAAATATTGAAATATTTTTTACAGTCTTCGGTTTTATTGAGCTAGGAACTGGACCAAAGTCATCTATGTTTCCCAACTGTCTGATTGTCTCAACTGTTACATATAGTGACAAAATGACTGAGACCTTTTTAAACTTTCAAGATTTGGTTTTGCTTTCTCTAGTCTTGAAATAAAATATTACTATTGACCCTAGCAATGTCAATGAAATGAAAAAAAATAAAGTTTTCCACCACTTATTAGTCTTCTTTTATATCAAATAATAAATGAAAATGTTTCATTCAAATAAAAATTTAAAAAAAAAAGGATTTATTTAAAAGATGATCACTCTTATCTAACCCTCACATACTAATATTCTAATCCCCTACTATAACTGGTTGCTTTACTTCTAACGTTTCAAATACTCCTCTGATTATATTTCTCCTATATACAATATTATATTCAATAGCCTTATGAATTGAAGAAACTCATGATACTGTTTTATTTTTCATCCACTGCATTCGTAGAGTTTCTTCCTTCCTACCTAACCAGCATGATATGCAACCTCTATGATAAGGCCACCAGTGCAGTCTTCCTCAACAACAACATCGGAGAATGGTTCAAGACCACGGTTGGCATACGACAAGGCTGCCTGTTCTCCCCCACCCTATTCAACATCTTCCTAGAGAGAATTATGTCAGATGCTCTGGAAGCGCATGAAGGAAAAGTCAGCATTGGTGGCAGAACAATCACCAACCTACGCTTTGCGGACAACATAGACGTGCTGGCTGGGAAGGAAGAAGAGCTAGCCGACCTGGTAAAGCATCTCGATAAGACCTTGTCATCCAACGGCATGCTAATAAGTGCCAAAAAGACAAAACTGATGACAAATAATACCGCAGACATCACCACTGACATTAAGGTCGGGGAGGAAAGATTAGAGACTGTCGGCCGCTTCAAATACCTAGGAGCAATAGTCTCAGAAGAAGGCTCCAAGCCCGAACTGATGTCCAGGATAGCGCAGACTACAACAGCACTAAAAAAGCTCAAGAAAATATGGAATGACAAAAATATAGCCCCCAGCACCAAAATCAGGCTGATGCGCTCATTAGTCCTCTCCATTTTCCTGTATGCCTGCGAATCCTGGACATTAACAGCCGATCTTGAAAGGAAAATAAAGGCGATGGAGATGAGATGCTTCAGAAGCATTTTTGGCATCTGCTATAGGGACCATATCTCCAATGATACAGTGAAAGAAAGGGTTTGTCAGGCAATTGGGGAGTACGATGACCTACTGGTGACTGTGAAAAAATGCAAATTACAATGGTATGGCCACGTAACAAGGCAACAAGGGCTTGCCAAAGAAATATTTCAGAGCACCACAAGAGGAGGAAGAAGAAGAGGAAGACAAAGAAAAAGGTGGGAGGATAGCATCAAAGAGTGGACAGGACTAACACTGGGCGATGCAGTGCATAGTGCTGAAGACAGAGAGGAATGGAGGAAAATGGTTCACATGTCATCTGTGGCGCCCCAACGGTCCAAAGACTTAGGGACATGAGGACCCACCCTCATATCAACTCTCTAGCTGGTCTTTTTCCATTGTTTTATATTTTTTTAATTCAGGTGGAAAGCTTTTTCTAAATGATTAATTATAGTCAAAATTTCTTTAACTCAGCAAAACAAAGCTGTAATTAAAAAACTGTCAAAATATAAACAATACCCTTGGTTGAGGAAATGACGCAAACAGTATGAAAGATAAGGGAAGATACTAACTTCATAAAAACCCCATAAGCTAGACTTAAAGCAGATACATTTTCAGTTTAACCTAAATAAATGTCAAAATCATAAGTATACACTGATATAGAATCTGCAAGAACCCAAAATTTCATTTCCCACTTAGTTGATTTATCTCTCATTAATATGAGTGTCCCTCAATCCTTACCAATTTTTAATAATTTGAAATTTTATGCTCTTGATGATATAGTTTCATACCCTTCCATCTAAAAAAGTCAAACAAAAATTTCACTTTACTGAGTTTATCATTGGTAACCTCAGTATGTCTGTTTGAAACTTTTAGAAAACATACAATCCGTTGAAACCCGAACAGTGTCATGAATTTTCTGGCTCATAATCCTTGCATAATGATTTCTTACTTCAATGACTTTGTACATTTGGGGCTGGCACAAGTCCCATGTACCTTAGTAGGCCCATGAATGTTAATAGTTCTTGATTAACAAGATCTTTGCAGTTTCTAAACATTGTAGATTTAGTGGGTCCCATGGCAGCTGCTTTCTCATCAGCATATTTGCAGAGTGCCTCCATCAATGTGGCTGTAGAGAGCAACTTGAAAATTGAAAAAAGGAGTCAGATATTTCTTCCTCTCATCTCTGGCTAGTAATTCAGGAAAACGGGCACCAGCTGGTCCTCCAGGCCTTAAGGCAGAAATAGGCTTTGGTGGTTCTAAATCATCATAACTGTGAAATAAAAATAAATGTATACATTTTAGATATGATATAGTCTTGAAAAAAGTGTATCTATATATAATTGAACACAATTAATTCTAACACATTATTGAATTTTACAACTAATCTAGACAAATTATAAGCTTATGATCAAATAAAATATAATAACAATGGATGCCACTTTGTAGCCTTGCCAACAGAAACAAAGGGAAGTGTAAGTTGTTATGGGCTTGGGAAAAAAAAATTAATAATAAAATAACTAATTCATAAAAAAAGGAATACAAATATATTTTCTAAAACACATTTCATATTCCACTGCTGCCATATTTAAGCATAAATGTAGTGAAAGCAATTTAATTTGTGAAAATCATGATCAGTTGAAAAACTTTGTAACAAAGAAAAAACTATTACCTTCAATAGTGAAGTTTTCCCCCGTTAAAAGGCAAGAAATTCTCAAAATCACTGTATTTTCTTTCTTTTCTCCAACAGAAGTTTCATCTTCACAAGCAATGTAAGCAATTTCTTCTTCTGATGACAAATATTCAGTCACAAATGTAAAAAATTGTGGGCGACTGGTATCGAGAAAAGTTGAGATCATTGTCTAGTGCAGTGGTTCTCAACCTTCCTAATTCCGTGACCCTTTAATACAGTGTTTCATGTCGTGGCGACCCCCAGCCACACAAGTATTTTCGTTTTTCTTCATAGCTGTAAGTATAGGTGTTTTCAGATGGTCTTAGGCGACCCCTGGGAAAGGGTTCTGCGACCCACAGGTTGAGAACCGCTGGTCTAGAGCCACACAACACCAAAAAGTCGATATAACGCTTAAGACACTAATATGTTACTATGTTATGTGTTCAGCTCCCTCCACACCATCTTCCTAGTCCTACTGCTTTTTAATGTATTATGCTTCTACAGCACAATAAATTGTAATTATGTAATTAGTAATATAGAACAGTATGAAGTTAATGACATTCATGAATAATTTCATGTAGACTTAGTGTAGTTGTAGTGTAATCCTAGACTAGTAGTAAGAAGACTGTGTTACTATGTTACATGGAAGAAATTGTTAATTGTACGCTTGACGTTTCCCCCTATTCTACAACAGCACCCATCTTGGTTACCATGACAGTACATGTCAATGGTTGCCTTGTAAAATTAAAAAAAAGGAATGCAAACACACATCTGCTAAAATGGAGAGGTGAAAGAGAGAGAATGTGCTGTTTAGCTACTTACAGAGAGAAACAAAAATAGGAAAAAAACGTTAAAATTTAATGGTCACCCCCTTTCCTGGTGTAATCTCAACCAGTACATTCATTACATGGTGAACATAGTAACTTTATTGTATCCCTCTAGTTTTACTGCAAGAAGTGTCAACAACCTGCAGCCTCTCTCTTCCCTCAACTAAAACACTTTAAAATAATGAAAACCCAACTTAAAGTTTCATAGAATACACATTTACACACTTTATTCCAAGTTCCACCATTTTGTGGTGAATGTAGCAAATTTATTGTATCCCTCTAGATATGTGGCAAGAAGTGACAAGGAAATGCAGTCACTCCCTTCCTTCGTCTTACACATGTGCGCTAATAGTACTATAAAATTTAGCCTCCATTTATAATTTTATATCTCATTTTCTTATAAATTATAATTAATCACCCAATGAAATATTCACGTCATCACGTACATCATTCCAACAGGGTATTAATAATAAAAAAAAAGAAAAGTAAACTCTTGTAACAATCCAAGAATAAACAACGGGAACTCACTCATCCCTGTGTGGAGAGCCAAATGTCAAGCCAACATTGGCTACATTGGGCCTCATTGGAAAGAACTTTATTCAGTATCCAGGTTGATAAAATACAAAGGCCAAAGGGCTTAGGGCTTAGGCTTAGGAAAATTTGAAAGATCACAAAGACAAAAGTCACGACAAAACTAAATAACACTGACGTTTCAACTAAAGACTAAGATTGATTTACTTTGAATCAGTTCAGTAAGTAAGAAGAAGTAATATATAATATATTATACGTATATATTATAAATATATATAACTTTGACTGACTTAACTACTTAACTTAATAATATTATGGAAGTAAATTTAAGATAAGTCTTCAGCTTCAACAGCAAACGAAGATGGACAACAGAAAGATAAAATTAGGGTCAATTTACGATTTAACTAATGGTGAATTATTACGTACAGTGCTAACAGTCATTAATTTAGTTATTCTTCTTTTTAATTGATTGTACAGTGACTTCTGTGCTAGCTCTTCTTTAGCTTTTCTAGCACGGTAGGCAGCAAGTTTTGACTCCATGTTGATAAAAAGTGCTGCTAAAATGATCTTCGAAAGAAGAGAGCTCTTGAAACAAGACACGTCAAAAGATTTCGTCAAACCTTATATTTAGAATAATTCTTAGAAATCGCTATAAAACCAAAGAAATACATTTAAAATAACGCAATTTCTTATCATAGGGCCAAACTAAGCTTTCTCCTTTCAAATAAAAAAAAAATAAATTCTGGGGTAGGCCGTAGTCATGGGTGATAGTAATCATTTCTTTTAATAATTAAGGCAATTAAGACCAACTTTAATTATTAGATTGTAAAACACATTGCATTTTTCATTATATTTTACTGCGTAATGAATAGTAATTTAAATATGTTAAATATGTCTTTTAAAATAAATAATAACAACCTCAACCTATATCAGTGACCCACAGATCCAATCAATGTAAGTTGATATGACTGATATTCTGATATGAAAAGAAAGTGACATTTTTATTGGGAACTTGAGTTTGAGGTGAACAAATAAAAATCAATTATTCTAACCCGCAAGTTAAAATTTTCTTCAAATTTCTTTTTGAACGCGCCGTACTATATTAAAAAAAAACCACAAAATAACGCGTTCAAAAAGAAATTTGAAGCAAAATTTTAACTTAAAAACTGAAAGAAAGATTCGACAAAATTTCCGTTCGATCAAATTACCGTCGATCAATTTACCGTTGACGAAATTTCTTTCGATCAAATTTCCCGATGCAAACCTGGGCGGACCGCTCCCCCTCCCCCCTTTCCTCCTACGCCGCCCACTGCCCAGGACCTGAACCCAAAGGCCCTTATATTGCGCTTCTGAAGAGATGTCAGCAGTGTGACGTCAACCTCACTTCACCACTCCGGAGTTCATGTTGGAAATCTTATATTTCTTGTAACTTGTCTCAACGTGGTCCGCAAGAGCCGCGTGTGACAACCCTAACGCCCCGTCGTGTGCCTTCATCGCATTATCCACCGCAAATCGATCAAATAGAGCGAGACTACGTAGCGAATAGAGAATCTGACCTGACCCTCAACAAGGCAGAAAACCTATGCAGGGTAGAGGGGGCAACGGATTGGCAGCTCAAACTCAGGAGTGAAGAATGCGGTGTACAAGAAGTGACATCAGGTGCAGAGATATCAAGAGGACCACGCGCAAATACAAAGTGTAACTATTGTGGCAGGACGCATCTACCAAGAAATGTCCCGCATACGGTCAATGATGTCACAACTGTAGCAAACAGAACCATTTTTCCCCCTTCTGTATGCAGGTCAAATCCTATGATACGTACCAATATGTGGTTTTGAAAATTTAATCTGTTTAAAAATATGTCTCGAAGAATGAACAATCCGTAATAAAGGACTGAAAACCAGTTAAACAAAGAAATCGATGTTTAAGCTAGTGATACTAACGACGTTCAATTTAATTATACTATAAAATTTCTATAAATATACAATATAACATAAACAAAAAAAGGAAAAAATAAAACTCTATCAACTTATAACACAGAAAGTGAAAAGGTCCAATCCTCTAAAAAGGCAAATATTAGTTTACACACACACACACACACACACACACACACACATAAAGAGTAAATTATTGCAATTATATAACGGCTTATAGCAAAAATCTCCTCGCTATGAAAGCTGCGCCCTGTACATATGGATGAAATCAGAACCATTAAAAAAAAAAAAAAAAAAAAGAAAAAAATAGAAATTGCTCGCCTGATAGCATTCATTAGGACTAATTTTCGAACAAAAACAACCTTTTCCCAATAAAGGGTGGGTGGGTAAAAGGATTGTCACATCACATTTAATCGGTGACTTCAATATCAATACAAAACAAAGTTTAGACCATTGGTGGTGAATATAACTTTTAGTAAATTTAGTCCAACACATTTGTCATAACTTTTTAAAAATGTCGCCACTTATCAGTCAGACATTCTTCGTTGGTAGGGTTTCCATGCAAAACAGACTTTGCAATGAGTAGTGATCGGTGGTTACTCTTGAGGGCATGCGAAGAGCCTTCACGCTGGACAATTGAGCGCAGGGGACTGCAAATGGGGTTATTACTTCCCTTGTCACACAGAGTTATCTTTCATTACAAGGGGAGTGCAAAGAACGTACAAAGATGGCTGCTCACATGGCGAAAACATCATTTGAGACCTGGCGAGTTGAAGAAAGAAAGAATTTTTTTTTTACGGGAATCGCATCAGCCGGTATCTGGAAATAAAGCAGAACTTGTAGATCGAGCAGCAATGCGAATTTGTGAGGAAAAAAACCATGCAAATAAAGACGAACTATTCCATCGTCCAAACTTTGATAAACTCACAACTCCTTCAGGAGAGAAAATGCTTTAGTGAACTTCGAAGGGGGGAAACTGCACGGCTAACTACATACAGTAGTCAGTAGTATAGTAAAGGAAAAGCCAGAAATCTTGGAATTTTAAATAGTAAAAGTAAAAAAACAACCCAAGCAAATCAAGTGTCCGTTACGGACTCAATCTTATTAAAAGAGTGGATTCTATAGGAGATGAAACATTGTCTTCCTATGCAGATGTATGTTTTGGTATTGGCTCCATGGAAGAAGAGTATACGATTAAAACTGACCCACACAGTAGGCCAGTGGTACACACAGTAGGTCAGTGGTGCACAAAGTAGGCCAGTGGTGGACAACGTAGGCCAGTAGTGCACAAAGTAGGTCAGTGGTACACACAGTAGGCCAGTGGTACACACATTAGGCCAGTGGTACACACATTAGGCCAGTGGTACACACAGGCCAGTGGTACACACATTAGGACAGTGGTACACACAGTAGCCAGTGGTACACACATGCATTAGGCCAGTGGTACACACAGTAGGCCAGTGGTACACACATTTGGCCAGTGGTACACACAGGCCAGTGGTACAAACATTAGGCCAGTGGTACACACAGTAGCCAGTGGTACACACATGCATTAGGCCAGTGGTACACACAGTAGGCCAGTGGTACACATAGTAGGCCAGTGGTACACATAGTAGGCCAGTGGTACACATAGTAGGCCAGTGGTACATAATGCTAGAAAAGCTCCAGCGGCATTGCGAGAGGACCCCAAAGAAAGAACTTTAACGCATGGAACGGCTTGGCTTCTTGGAGAAAGCGAATCACCCCACTGCATGAAAAACAACTCACCACGTTAGCCCGAGAGTTAGCCTTCTGCGATGTCAAGGTGTTCGTGAAAGCTTTGCACGAAGGCCCTGTGGTAAAGTACTAATTTAAAGTGAGAGACCAGTGGCTTACGCATCTTCATCTAGGCCTTTAACAAAGTGTGACAAAAGATATGCTCAAAAAGAAAAAGAAAAAAAAAAAAAAGAAATGGCTGTCGAAGTATTCGAAGTCGAACAGTTTCATTACTGTGTCGCGGTAGAGACAGATCACAAGCCATCGGAAGTGATAAAAGTACTAATTTAAAGTGAGAGACCAGTGGCTTACGCATCTTCATCTAGGCCTTTAACAAAGTGTGACAAAAGATATGCTCAAAAAGAAAAAGAAAAAAAAAAAAAAAGAAATGGCTGTCGAAGTATTCGAAGTCGAACAGTTTCATTACTGTGTCGCGGTAGAGACAGATCACAAGCCATCGGAAGTGATTATTATAAAGCATTTGTAATCTGCACCGCAGAGGTTTCAGGGGATGGTCAGTCATTCTTACTGTCACAAGAGTCACCCCTGTCAACCCTAATGATCCAGTGGAAATTTAGATTTGAGTTTTTACTCTATTTCTAATGCCATGATCTACTAAGCAGCCAAGGAATTGAATTCATTCTTGCTGATGGCAGCTCGGAGACAACTTCATTATTATGGGTTTTATTTTTTTCCATTAAGATGGGGGCATACACCTATTTAGGCGCACTCATGTTTGTGTGTGTGTGAGGGGGGGGGACGACAAACACTTGAATTATGTGGAATAACTAATACATGTACGTAGGTCTACATGAGAATTTTACAACCGAAGACAAATCTGAGGAAATCCTTATCAGACATTGTGTAGAAGAAAAAAACCTTTTAATTAAAATAGCTGATCAGCCCAACACTTGACCTTAACCTTTGAACGTGTTATAATGTGTACTCAAGTGTCGGGACTCTCAAACACGGAAATAAAAGCAGATTTAACCTACTTTTTACGTTAAATGGAATTGTAAATTTAAATACATAGCCGTGCCCTTTTATTGGGGGATGCTGCCTCCAAATGCACACCACTGAGGCTACACCACCGATGCTACACCACCGGGGCTACACCACTGAGGCTACAGAGCGTTTAATTTGAGGTAAAACAATAGAACAAATTTAAACACATAAATAAGCCTTTGATAAAAATACTAGTCTCAAACTGTTCGAAATTTGTTCGCTGCTTTAGTGATGACTCTTCAAAATAGGATAGGATCACTGGTGGGTAAAAGGGGAGGGGGAGGGGGAGGACTGCGATCAAGTTTGGCAAATGGAAACACAGAGCAAAATGTGGGGGGGGGGAACCGGAGGGGGGGGGGGGGGGGGGGGGGGGGGGGGGGTTACACTTTACAAAGCCCCCCCGCCCCCCCCCCAAAAAAAAGCAAAAGTTAAGTTCTTTTATTTTATCTTACCGTTTACTTGTTTCCTTTTGCTGAAGAAGGCTCTATGCCGACATAATATAAAATGATTAAAACAGAGTAGGGTTAAACCTGAAAAAAAGGAACGCAACAAAACAACGAACGTGTCGACAGGAAGCCTTCGTCAGCGAACAAAACAACAGAAAAAACAGAATAAAATTTTTAAAATAGCACTTAGCTTAGAAGTAGTATCCATGCGCAGCAAATGAATTGTCAAAAATGGCCACAATTCATTTGCTGCCCACGGATACTACTTTTAAGCTAAGTGCTATTTTTTAATTTTATTCTGTTTTTTTCGGTTTTTTTATTCGCTGACGAAGGTTTCCTACCGACAAGTTCGTTGTTTTGTTGCGTTCCTTTTTTTCAGGTTTAACCCTACTCTGTTTTAATCATTTTATATTGTGCTAGCCTA